GTTTTGAAATAGTTGTCGAGCACCTACTGTGTGCCAGAGAACAGGACAAAACGGTCTTTACTCCTGGCTCTTAAAGTTCAGTGCCCTGAGGGATATAAACAGGGGCTGACACGGGCTAGTATCCCCATTTCACCGAAGTGTAAGTAGGCAGCTCAGAGGAGCTGGACATGCTGTATGCAAGTGGGAAGGGCATTCCAGCCAGAGGGAACAGTGTGTGTGTGTGTGTGTGTGTGTGTGTGTGTGTGGAGGGGCTGGTAAGGCAGGTTGGAGCAGCACTGTGGCATGACACGAGGTCAGTGGGGCAACCTACAGACTGTGAGCCTCTTCTCTGAGCCTCAGTTTCCTCATCTGAGGAATGGGGGCGATGGCCCCAGCTGCTGGGGTCTTGGGCAAGGGCTCAGGGAGATAATGTGCCAGGTGTTCTGCGTGGAGCTGGGCACAGGATGTTTTTGGCTAACCAGGATAGCCTTACTTAGACGACACTCTCTATGGGCCAAACACGGACCAAGGGCTTTCCACTCATTCACTCCTAACAATGACAGTCCCACTGGGGAGGGCTAGGATCCCCATCTCACAGACGGGGAAATGGAGGCAACAGCACAGCTCAGCTAATTATTTGTTCCTGTTCCAGTCATTCTGATTATGGGTTAGCCCAGGGCCTGCACAGAGAAGACCCTCAAAAAGGATTTGTTGAATCAGTGAACGCATCTGGAAGGTCGGTGCCGGGCAGGTGTGGGGGCGCTGGGAGGAAGATTGCTGTGTACATGTGTAAAGCTGTGTGGAGTGGTGTGGGATTCTGAGCGTGACTGTGGGCCTGCGTGTAACTGCGTGTAACAGTGTGTGAGACTGTCCAAGGACTGCAGATGGTTGCATGTGTGAGGCTATGTCCGTGTCTCTGTGACCTTAACTGTGTGTGACAGTCACACATTTTCTCCCTGAGTCCTTGCCCAAACGCCCAGTGGCCACAGGGGCTCTGTCAGACTGACTGTGTGTGTGTGTGAGTGTGTGTCATGGCCTACACACGTCTGTCCGGGCCCAGAGGGACACTTGGTACCCTTCCTGGGATGGCTGGTGGGCCCGGAGGCTACCTCAGGGCAGGACAGGCAGGTGCAGAGGTGAAGGGGTCAGAGTCCCCAACCTCCCCTGCCCAGCCCAGCAGACAGACCGGCAAATGGAAAAAAATGTTCACACCCGAGGCAAGCTGGTGGCTGCCCCACCAGGGACTGCTCTGTGCACAGAAAACAAGTTCTTCTGGTATCAGCTTGGCAGGAAGTGGCTTTTGGGTGGCAGGAAGCTGGATTCAGCTCGTATCAGCCCTGGCCGAGGGGCAGGAGAGCAGTTATCTGGGGTTAAACAGAGTTACCGAGAAGTGGAGCCCCCAACACGCCATGCCTGATAGAGTTGAGGGCACAGCCCGCCCCTGATGGCCCTTTGGAATGATGGGTGGATGGTCTTGTAAAGATGAGCCCCAGGCCCCAGACAGGGCTCGTTGTCCACCTCTCATTTACTCCCATTTAGAAGATGTGCAGACTGAGACTCTGAGAGGCAATGACTTTTCCAAGATCACCAGTAGAGAGACAGAAGGGAAAAAGACTGCAAGAAATTTACATCTAGAGACGAAAAAGGCAGGACAGAAGAGCAAAGAGAAGAGGAGTGATGGGACAGGATGGAGCTAGGAGTCACATGAATGCAGACAGCAGTGAAGCTGCACCATGGGAAGGCCTGTGTGTGCCCGCCATGTGCAAGGTCATCACGTGGACGTCACAGCTGACCTTGAGATCCTGAACCCATTTCCCAAATGAAGGGAGTGAGACTCAGAGAGTCTCACTGGCTGAGCCAGGCCTGGAATCCAGATCTGATTCCAAAGCCCAGGTTCTTTCAGGTCATGCCCCCACGCCCAACTTCCAGGGAAGGGAAGTGGCTCTTCTAAAACGGACACCCAGTTCCACTAGCTGCTTTCCTGGGTGCTCGGTTGAGGAATTCACTCAGCTGGCTTGTGGAGAGCCAGGGTTCAAACCTAGGCAGGATGGCTGCAGAACTCACGTGCTTAACCACGTGACAGGGTGTGCCCAGCGCTTTGCTGGAGCAGCCAGAGAAAGCCATGGCCCTGCCCTTGGGCTGGGACCCAGAGGGTCCAGCCACTGGAACAAAGCCCTACAGCTGGCAAGAAACTGAGTCTCCCAACGCTCAGCCCTAGACACTCTGTGCCGCCCCCCACCCCACCCCCACTGGAGCCCCTGGGCACTGGGCTCTGGTCCTTCTGCTCTCATCCCAAAAGCAGCTCTCAAGCTGTTCCCTGGCTGAGATGCTGATTTGAAGCTCGGTTTGCATGTCGTTTGCACATTACTCAGTGTATGTCAGAAGGTACGAACATCTCCCTTTCCGGGAGAGGGCTGCCGGGCCCCCCTGCCCTCCTCCAGACAGCAAAAATGCCAGCCGGCTAGACGGGAGCGACGCCCTGGCCTCTGACGGCACCCGCCTGCCGCTGCCTCCCCCATTCCCTCCTGGAGCCAAATTTAGGCAGCTCTGCTACTGAGAGATGGGGAGAGCGGAGGCAGGAAACGGTGAGGTTGGAGGCAGCCTGGCCTTGGCCCTCCCAGGGTGGAGCAGCCCCAGGGGTGGCCCTGTCCCTAAAGCTCTGGGCACAGCCTCCCCCCACCCCTCCTCCCACTGGAATGCTGGCGGGGTTGGGGAACACTGGGTTCTCAGCTGCAGCCCAGGGTGCTGGCTACCCCAGCCATGAGGGAGGAGGGAGGGAGGGAGCGAGGGAGGGAGGGAGGAGGTCATGGCCGGGGCAGTGGGGAAGGGATCAGATAGCCTCCTCCTGCCCCAGACACCCGCCGCCACTGGGGACACAGAGCCGGCTCTGCTTCTTGGACACTTCCTGTCCCTCCTTGGTGTGTACCCCCCAACCCTGGGACTGATTGTGGGTAGGGGGCAGGGGGCACAGCCAGGCCTGAGGGGACTGAACCCTCCCTGTCCCCCAAAGGCTCTCCCAGGCCATCTCTGACTTGGGCCAGCCTTGCACCTGAATGGTCTTGGTTCCCCTACCTGGGAAATGGAGGGAGTGGCCTAGAATGACTTCCAAGCAGCTTCCTGCACTGACAGCAGGAACTTCTGAGAGGCCTGACAGAAATGAGAGTTGTGGGCCAGGTGTGGTGGCTCACGCCTGTCATCCCAGCACTTTGAGAGGCTGAGGCAGGCGGGTCACTTGAGGCTAGGAGTTCAAGACCAGCCTGGCCAACATAGTGAAACCCTGTCTCTACTAAAAATACGAAAATTAGCCAGGCATGGTGGTGTGTGCCTGTAATCCCAGCTACTTGGGAGGCTGTGGCAGGAGAATCGCTTGAACCCAGGAACCAGAGGTTTCAGTGAGCAGAGATCACACCATTGCACTCCATCCTGGGCTACAGAGCAAGATTCTGTCCCCAAAAATAAATAAATAAATAAATAAATAAATAAAAAAGAGATGCAGATTGTGGCAGTGGCTTTAGGCCTAGAAACTTCTTAGATTTCTCAGGTATAGCTAGGAGAGGCAGCTACTCACGATGCTGGGACAGAACCTGCGTGGGCTGAACTGTGGAAAGGAAGAAGAGGTGTGGGCTGGATTTCAGCCACCACGAATCCAGGGGTGGGACTAATGGAGCCCAGTAGTTGGGATCCTGGGGTCTGAATCCCTGGATTTGAACCCCGGCTCTGTCACTCTGTACCTTGTGACTGTGGGCAAATTGCTTCAGCTCTTCTGTGCCTTCGCTTCCTCACCCTGGGGCAACAGATCTCTCGTTGCTGTTGCGAAAGTGAACTGAGGCCATGAGTGCTTGGCACACAGTAGGTGCACCGCGACGCCAGCCACCGGTGTGACTGTTTTGCCTCCCAGGACGGTTAGGAGGCCCCGGAGTCACAGCAGATGTGGATGTGGACGCGGTGGGAGGCGCTGTATCTTGGTTGTTAAATGGGCATAGGGATGGGGGGTTCAAGTCTGCGTGACCCTGGGCAAACGGCCACACCCCGCTGCGCCCTGGGCGGGGAGCAGCAGAAGCGCTGACCGCGGAGGGTCTGTGAGGATTACGGGAGATCAGGCTTGGCACGGCGCCTGGCACATAGCGGGCGCTCCCTGAAGGAGAGCTGGCAAGATCTAATGGTACCGCCCTGCACAAAGGACAGGTGGGCAGCGTCTCGGGGGGCGGGGCAGGGCAGGTGCGCCGGGAGCGGG